TGTGAAAGCGACTGGCGGTCCACATGCTTGCTCTCTCTCTCTCTCTCTCTCTCTCTCTCTCTCTCTCCCTCCCTCCCTCTCTGTCTTGACCCTTACCGAGCGCCAAAAGGCTTGGATCTGCCGGACAACTTCGACCCTCGAGTGGAGAAGACCCTGTGCTTTCCTCGTGGCATCTCCCGACATCAAGGCTCTGGCTGGTTACACACGTGACGAGTATGTTTGTGCAACCTTCCTCAGCTGGTGTGCACTTGAGGCATTTGGCTCAGTGTAGCCAACAGGTAAAACCCCAACTGGAAGCTTGGGAGACTGCTGCGGCGTCAAATGCCGAAGACAGCATGTCGCAGCCCGAGGGTCTTGAGCCCATGCCATGTGCAGAGAAACGATTGTTGGTGCCAAATCCAGACAGCATCTGCCCATATTGCAAGAACCCACCGCAGGGGCACTGTCGAGTGGCAGTCACCCGGCGTCATGTGTGAACTTTCCGCGGCGAAGGCTTACAACCCCGGCCTCCAATCCCAACAGCCCTGACACTAGAAAGATGTATCTAGATGTATAAAGTTGGATCTGCTTGTGTGTGTGTGTGTGCGCCAGTGCGCATGTGTGTGTGTGTGTCTGTGTATAAGAAGTGCATAAGTAGATACATAAATAGGTAGATAGATATAAACACATAAATTAAATAAACACATAACTATATAAGCATACAAACATAAATGCAAGCATAGATATACATAGATGTACATATACATGTAACCGTTATATATATATATGTACATGATATATGTCTATACACACATGTATATATATATGTATATATTTATGTTTATATTTATGTTTATATATATAGATATGTAACATTGTATATGTCTTATCATGCTATGATAACAATCTTATCGAATCTATCTCCGTAAGTATCTGTCTTGATATCGTGGCAGGCAGCTGCGGTTCCAGCTGGGCTTTTGCTGCGACAGCTGTGGCCTCTTTCCGCGAATGTCTGGTCAAACTGCACGGAGGCATGTGCGACTGAGATGATCTTCCAGGTGTTTTTGGCAATTTCTGTGATGATGGCAGGTGAGGTGCCTGCTTCCTTGAGCTTCCTGTCAGCCCAGGACGCAAATCGAAAGGAGGGAGCTGTTTACATGCGATCATCAAGGGACCCTCCCGCAGGAGCTCGTGTCGTGCTCCGCGCACCACGGCTGCTCCGGTGGAAGCGCCGCTGAGGCGAAGGCCCTGTGCCTGTTTGCTCGCCTTCAAAATGGTCTGCCAGGCTTTCTACTACATGAAACAGCACGGGGCGGCCAGGGAAACCTGTTCACCATATCGGATGCGATGCTTCCACGACCAGTCCACCATATCCATGGAGGCGTTTAGCAACAACCGCTGCTGAATGCTGCATCAGGACCAGAATCGATATTCTACCAACACTTGAGCGCAGAGAACTGGTCTTCCGATTAAACTGCCTGGCAGGCCGCAGATTTCAAGACAGCCGTGGCCCACACCCAGAGTTCAGAATATGCGACAATGTGCCACGAGTCTGCTGATGCGATCTTTGGCCGCATTGGTGCAAGTCTGCAGCATCAATGTCACAGAGCTCCTCCGAACATTGTTGGGTTCAGTTAAACGATGGAATCAGACTGACCGCAGTAAGGGAGACAGCCGCCTGTAAATGCCTGCCCAACGTCTTCCACCTTTCGGAAACGGTGGCCTGTGACTTGCTTCCCGCTGCATGCCCAAAGGTTTCTTTGCTGCACAGGTGCTACCAGTCTCCAGTCTAGCAGTAACTAAGCGTTTTGTACATGTGTATGAACCAAGACTCGTATTCCCAGCTACTTCAAGATCCGGGGGACTATGGAGGGCAATACCGTGCCAGAGTTGGAGCGACACATGATGCAGGAGCCAGTGACTCAGCTTATCACTTCTCAGGATCCTGCTCTTTGTGTGCAGGAGCTGATTACCGATGGTCCTTTGTACGTGTCGCTCTTCCTCTATGAGGACTCGGGTGCATCGCGTTGGAAGCATATCTCGTGAGTCGTCTCAGTTCCTGCAAAAGGATCTGACAATCTCTTGATCGCTCCGCGGGCTGGGCAATGTGGAAGAATGTAACCTTTAATGTACTATACTATACTGTACTGTACTATACTATACTATAATATACTAGAGTATACGATATGATACTACATTATACCTACAACATACTATACTGTACTTGTATCACCCATTCCACCATTGTAAGCTGCTCTGTAGCAACACACAGACAATCTCTCTCTCTCTCTCTATCTCTCTCTGTCTCTCTGCCTCTCTCTCTCGCTGCCTCCCTGTCTCTGTATCTCTCTCTCTCTCTCTCTCTCTCTCTTGGTGGTTGGACGCGCACGCACAATCGCTTCACAGCCATATCAGGGCCGTACCAATCTTCTAGGCACTCCGAACCTCAGACAAATCCTTAATTCAGAAGTCTCTTGACATGTCTAATTAAGACGTAAATCCTGCAGAGTCGCATAAAACGAACCATGAAAGTACTGCCCGACATGGGCCTCCGACTGATTATGCAATACTTTGACACAGGCGGAACCCCGGGTCAAGGGTGTGCTGGGTTGCTGTTTCTAGGTGTTGTGCTGTTTGGTGACGCCAAAGTCTGACACATTGCCGGCGTGCAGTTTTCTTTCAGACCTGCAGAACAGTTTCGATGTCCTTGAAGGAGGTGGGAACAGAAATGGCAGGAACGTGGACTGCAGAAAACTCAGCAGTTTCACAAGCTTCCCAAAACTATGCAAAAGGGTTGGGCTCTGGCGCGGGGAGAGAGAGTGGGAGGCAACCCCCGCCCTAGCCCTGGCGAAAGAAAGAGAGAGAGAGAGAGAGAGTCGAGCCGGGGCCTCAGTCAGCTGACTTTTTGCACCTGTTTGCCGCGCCCGCAGCCACAACGAGTTGGGGGACCAGAACCTTGTCGGCTTGTTTGGTCACCTGGTAGTGCCAGTCGTTGTTGCAATACACTCCCCGAACCGATACAAGCTGCGTGTACAGAGAAGCGGAAGCCTTTCTTTGGCACTGAGGCAAGGGGGACATGACCTAGATTGGGGGTTGCATGCAGGCTGTTTGTTTTTCAGACCTTGACCTCAGTTTGTAGTGGTCCGAAAAGGGTGGTGCGGAGACGCTCCGAGCAGAAGGGTTTGCTGTACTGTGTTGTGCATGTAGTGCAGTCAAGTGTTTGGGGGCACAGCAACGGAGCGGAAAGTGTTGTATGGGCGGCAATACGCAGCCAGACGGAACACAGAGCCCGCATCAGCCTCAGAGATGAGGCCGGGGGTTATAACAATAGGTTCAGGGTCGGGGGTTCTCCAGAGCAAACCACCGGCCTCATCAGTAGTGCGAGAACAGCCAGGACGCAAGGACCAGTGCGCGCTCGCGCGCAGGGAGGGGGCACGCGCGCTCTCCCTTGACTGTGCTGAAGAAAGAGAGAGAGAGAAGGAGGGGTTTTTCGGGTCGGGTTACAGGCACACTCACCCCGAAAAGGGGCCTTGCCGACACACGGACGCGCGCCGCAGGGGTAGGACCTCGGGCCAGGGCTACCCAGGGAGCTCAGACCCCACCAGAGATCCCAGCCCGCGTCTCTTGTGTACGAAGCGTGGATGATGGAGCACGTCGTGGATGGGCTGACTTTGCTAAGCTGGCCCGAGGGGCGGAGCGACGCATACAGTTCTCTTTGATAAGCATGATGTATGTGCGTTTATTTGCTTTTGGTTTGCTGCAGTTTGTACTTATTTTGCGTTGTTTGCTTTTTGGTCTACATTTGTTTGTATTTGTCTTTGCGTGTCTGTCATGTCTTGGTCTGTCTTTGCTTTTGCTGTATTCTGTATTCGTCTCGTGTTTTCTTGAAAATTGATGTTGGTTGTGTGTATTTGTCTTAGCTGCATTTATTGTTTGTTTTTGTCATGTTTGTCATCATTAGTGGTGATCTTTCTCTTTACATGTCTGTCTCATCTCATTGTCGGTTTATTTGGTTGTATGGTATGGGTCTTTATTCACAGAAGGGGGGGGCAAAACATGACCACGCGGCATCCAGAGTACTAGCAATGCCGGTTGAGAGTCCTGTATCCGTGCCTTGGCACCAGAGCAGCACGGGCGCCGTTCCTGCTTACATTTGAAGCTTAAGCAGGTTTTGAAGCAAACCAGGTTTCAGCAGGTTGCCGTCACATTGTTCCCTGCAATATGAGATGCATCGTCTCGTTTCATGCTGTTTCAAGCCTCTCCGGTAATGCAGCAAAGAGTCATGAAAGATGTGATGAGGTTGGGGGAAGCTGAGCCAATGTGTTGTGCCGGTACCTGTACATTGAACCGCCTGAAGCCTGTCGAGGATGTCCTTGTGCGAGTCTTGTCAGATGCGCTAGTCCGCTAGTCCTCTCTGTGTTAGTTGTGCTTTCAAGACGGATCTGCGGGGAACTCCCTTGCGCGGGAACCAGACTTGTGGAGGCTACTTGCAGCACAGGGTGCAGGCAGGTTGTGGGTCTCAGGTATGGAGGCAGAGGTGTCTTGTGATACTCCGATCCCGAAGGAACCCCAAGCTGTCGCCTTAGAAGGACCGCTAAGATCGGGGCGCATGTGGGGGGTGCAGAGGTTCCTATCCCTTCGACTGTGTGGAAGAAGAGAGATAGAGAGGCAGAGAGACAGAGACGGGCATTTTCTCGGAAAGCTCGTGGATTTACTAGCCTCCTAGCCTATGCACGCCTGGAAAGGACTTCTTTGATCAGACCTCCTGGTCCGAAAGTTTGGATCTTGGGAGCCAACTTGCGAAGCTGGACCGGCATCCCAGCACTACTGTGTTGTCTTACGTGTGCTAGGTGGGATCTACGAGCACAGACGCGGTGATCCTCTCGGAAGGCTGTTGATGCGGAGAAGCCTTTGGTGCAGATTCCATCATGGACATGTCTTGAAGGCACGGTGCTGCGCTGATTGGCTGGGGCACGGACATGGACAGCATATCCCTCAATGCATCACAGCTGTCTCGGATCGCTTAGAGCGTTAGCCTGTGATAGCAGAGGCCGTGACTATTGGCTGCTGCTCAATTCTTTTGGAATGCAGTGGCGTCAGGGAGGCTACTTCAAGGTTTGGGTCTCGGATTTGGGCCTTTGCTGCTCACATTTCCCAAACTTCGCAACTTGCCAGCTTATGCAGTAGCTGTGCAGTAGCAGTCGCCAGCATATGCACCGGAACTTCTGACATTGCTACAGATTCTGCGTGGAGACACACCCGAGCAGTTGCTCCACTACGGTGCCTGGGGCCAGCGGCCTACGGAGCTGTCGCGAACCGTTCGCCCGCTCTGAGTCCCTCAGTACTGCAAGAGTTCCGAAAGGGCTCCGAGCTCAGGTGCAGATTTTCAGTCTACCGAAGATGAGAAGAAGCGTGCTCCGGCAATCTTCGCAGTGGAGGTAGCTCCTATTCAGTTTCAGCTACAGGAGTTGGGTTCTTCAAGATCGTCAGAACTTAAGTTGAGCCTGCGCCGATCTCTTTCTCTGGGAGGTGTCCTTCTCACCCGTTCCTCTGCGCCATGGCATCGCCAGCGAGCCTTTGACAGAGCTTGCGCATGCCCGGGCGCAAGTATGACGGGAGGGCAGAGCAGGACAACAAGTTACAAGGGGATGCAATGCCAGCATGCCACATGCACCCTTTAAGCAGCGCAGATCAGTGTCGAGGTTTGGTTGCGTGTTGCGGTCGTGGCCTGAGACCTGATTCGCCTGCCCACTGAATGACGCAAAAATTCATGCTCCCGCCCCTCTCTCTGACTCTCGCTCTTTGTCTCTGCTCACCAGTTTGCCACCGACGAGCGGGCCAAAGCTCTTGTCCGCAGACAGCCCGGCATTCGACGGCGCTTCACTTCACGAAGTTTGTGCTCGTAGTAATTGTAATCTCCCTTGGCTGAGGCGTCCTCGGACTGGCAAGCGGCATGACAGCAGAAGTTTCAGAGGCAGTCTCGACTCGACGCATCTCCTTGGGAAACTTTCTTGATTCACCTGCCTGCAGAAATCCACGCCGACCAGCACGGTGGGTCTGGCGCTCGGGATTGCAGACGCTTCTAGGTGCTTCGGCCAACGGTGTATCAGTGTAGCTTATCCCGCTGCCACTTCTCCACCGAGAACTGGGAGAAATAGAAGGAGGTGAGGCTCACACCGTTCAGATTGACCTCATGCAGCGGCGCCCTAAGTGCATCTTCGAGTGCCGTGTTTGGAACGTGCTGGATGCCCTAACACCGAAACGCCGTGACATTGGTGCATTTATTTGCAGCGATTGGGAAAGTTTTGCGCAGTTTTGCTTGTCCTCGTGATGTAGTTACATGCAGAACCATGCGGACTGCGTGGCGAGGCACTCTTTGTTGGGTGATCGACTTGAGCTGCGTGTTTGGGCCCTGAGCCTAGCGCCACTCAACGATAGGAGCAAGAGTCGCAAGAGCTTAGTGCTTCGTGGTTGTGCTATCAGAAGAAGCAGGCTAATTATGTCATACTGTCAAACCTGTTTTCGGAGCACCCTGACACGGTGGCATTTCAGAACCATGACACTCTGCTTTGTCCCCAGGCATCCGACAAAGCCGACAACACAGGAAGCACGAGTCCCCAGCATCAGCAAGTGCAGCTGAAATGTGCTTTGCCTTGCTTTGCCTTGAGCTTCTAAGAGTTTTTGTTGTCGGAGGCTGGGGTCCGGTGGCCTTCGATGTCCCTGACCTGCACGTCTTCAGGAAATCCCTGTCAGGTGCGGAGTTGCACCTTAGGAGGCCTACCTCCATCAGCTTACCGCTAGATACCGCTAGGGCGGAAGGTTCGTAGCTTCTATGTTTAAGTTAAAATTGTTACATACCCCTCTTGCAGTTCAGGCCGCAGCCCTTTGAACCGCTTCCGACCGAAGAAGGTCCATGCAAGACCTTGAGAAATCCTAATCTTTAGCGAGTTTAAAGCTTGCGCTATTGGAACGTGCAATGGCTTTGAGATGAGGGATGCATCGGGGCTCCATGGTCCAGTATGTCGGGGAATGCTGAGGAGAAGATCTTGGAGTCGTGAGCGGCAGTGCTCCCATGTAGGTTTTGCAATATCTTTTCGTCACTTCAGTGAAGAAGGTCGCCTTGTGATGAGGGAGTTTGTACCCTAAACCTATGTCACGTACTGGACAGACGTGGATTACAGCCGACGACTGGAAGATGAGGCCTTGGTCTCGGCCGTGAAACTTCGCATTCCTTTTCCCACATAATGCTCACAGACGTCTAGACTTGACTCTTGACTGATTGCGAAAAGTGTCGGGACACCAAGCTCACGGCCTTTGCTTCTCCCATCAAAGGCCGCTCGCATGCCCTCGGGGGCAGATTCGCCAAAGGGCAAGGCCATTCCCACACTAGTCCATGCAGTCCACTGCTGGCACAGAGTATCACAGTTCCCTGAGCTGTTTTGGCTGCAACTCCGGAGGATCAGAAGCCTTTCAGATGGGACGTCGAGACGCTTCACTTTCACATCTGATCGCAGCCGCCGACGCCGACGGCTAGGCTATTGTGTAGGCCGCCGAAAAGGATGTGCCGACTGCGCCGAGAGTTGGGCAGAAGATCTGCCTCAGCACTCGATGCCGAGGAAGAGCGGGCGAAAGCTGAGTTTGCCTAGGAACTGGGCTCTGCTTGAAGCGAGCAGTCAGCAATATTCTGGACATGCCCGTTTGCCAAAGGTTCTTACGTGTCCAATGGCCAATTGCTCGAAACTTCATCGGAATGCGGAGACCATGTCTGGCTATGATTGTGGACGGGTGTCTTTCTAACCCACGCCTAGGAATTCCAACTGGTACTTCCATGGGTCTTGTTTCAGCAGTTTCAAGAAATCCGTAAGTCCAGATTTATGAGATCAACGCATGTAAAGCGTGTAGTGTAGATCATCATGTGTGCATCCGCCGAGTAATTTGCCGGCAACGTCACCGCACGCAAGCAGGTACCAGCTGCTGAAGTGATGTTTTAGCTGACATGCGCATGCGTAGGCCTTTTCTGTGACAAAATGCCGTATAGATACAAGCAGCCGTGATTCAGTGTTCACAGGTTCACAGCCCAATCGGAGTCGGTGCGAACCTCAGGTTTTTGCATGCTGCTCGTAGTCTCACTCGGAGATAAACCACTTTAACACTGGAAGCGGCATTGTACCATAGCGTCTTGATCCCCTCTTGTGACTTCAAGACTTCCTGGATGCATTTGCCACATCAGATCACCATCCATGCAGTTACAGGTCACATGCTTCGGAGCATGAGTCTTGTGGCCTTGCAGTCGAGCGAGACAGCTGTTTGTTCATGAGTACGAGATTTTCACTGCCGCATCTTGGCTCTGATCTCTTGAGGGAAACTCTTCGGAAGGGTTCCTGTGGAGATCTGAAAAAACCCTAAGCCATGCTGTGTGTTTTCGCCTCTGTTGTTCAGGCAGAAGACACCTTTCTTGAAGCTCTAGCTAGTGACCGCCAGTAGATATCACTTGCTGTTGTGCTAGCCGCTGGCGTAACCTCGCCGGGGTTGGGCTGCTGTGTACCAGTGACAAAAGAAGCTTATGTTGTTGTGCTTCATGTCCATGTACACACATATCACACATACAACACTAAGCTCGCGCTGCTTGACAGCCCAACCCTGGTATGGGAAGCCTGCACGTGCAAATGGCACCGGGGAGTGCAGACCGCAATCGGCCTGCAGACGAGGATTCGCCAAGTGGGAATCAAGGATCCAAGCGAATGCGCTCCCATGTCGTGCGAGGTGCGGCTCGTTTGTGCCGCTTTCATGCCTTCAAGTGTTGCCTGACAGGTCAGATACCACAGGACTTGGAAGAGCAGCTAACACAGCCATTCACGGAGGAGGAGTATCCTGGCTGATACATCACGTCGAACAGCATGGCGTCAAATAGAGTGGACGCAGCCGTCCGACAGAAGGAAGCAAGAGCAGAATTTTGAACCCTAGTTTTACGATTGCCTGATTCTCGTGCACGTAGTCAGTCGGCCACTAGTAGTTGCTAGAAAAATCAGTGCGTCCAATTTAGGCCAAAATCATGCTTTGCAACTTGTGAATCAACATTTATGCTTGCTTCTCTTACTTTTGCTGTCTATGTAACTAAAGCTGACACTCACTGCATGTCACTGCCATTTTCCCGGTGAACTCTGGTTTTCTGTGGTGGCTTGAAGTATTTGCGGTCAGTTGCCTCTACTTTCCTACTTATCTCAATTGGTTTCTGAGATGGTTCTACAAGTTGAGCAGAGCTCCACGTCTTCGAAGAGAAGTTGATGAACCTTTCGTTGCATTTCGTTTTTCGGGTGAGGAAGGTTGGATCTGGGTGCCCCTCCCGCGTGCTCGAACTCTTCTACCGTTCTCTGCAACTGCTTTTGGAATCTATGACGTTTTCCTAACTTGAAGACTCATCCAAGACTGCCTGGGGGATGAGAGTGAGACAGGCAGACAATGAGAGAATGAGGTTGCTGCAGAGAAGGAGGGTCTGCGAGTTGCGAAAGATCTATACACATGACTGCGCATGTGTACACATGCACATTCTCTGTAAGACTGTATGTGTGTAATATCGACAGCAGTTGCACTAAGAAGCAGCTGAGGCGGCATCGAATTTTCGAGTCGGTCGGCCTGAACCAGGCTGAGCGACTACCGGAAGGACGATCTCCGATAGTGCTCCGACAGACCTTAGCAAACGGATTTAGATATAGGGTTTAGGGTTTTGTTTCTCAGGTAGGGTTCTTGTCCTGCAAATCACGAGGCAAAAGGCAGCAACATTGCTTTGAGACTAGCATGTCGAGAAGCCGGCTGATGCTGCATGTACTCGCAAGGCCTGAGTAGACGGCGGTCTAAAGTCGATTTGACGGACTTGCAGAGGCTGTCCATTCTTAGGCTCTATGGCTCTTTGGACCTCCAGCCGCTGGCAAGACATCTATCAGTGACGATTTCGAAGTCGAGTTCTTCGGGCGATCAGGCAATGCCGTGTCTTGGACTTTTCATAAACCACACGCCGCCAAGTCCCGACATGCCTAGCACAAGTGGAGCCGCCGCAGAAGCTCGCCACCCGAGGTTTGCATTGATGGAAGCCACGTTCGCGATGCGCACACAGGCTTCCAGCAGGTGCTACAGCACGGCATTGAGAACGAAGTTATCCATGCAGATGCCTGGACTAAGCTGAAGGCCACCAAGCAACCTGCTTGCAAGGCAGAGCGTTCCCGCATCGGAATCGGTGCTCGATTTCCGAGACCAGCTAAAAACTCCGAGGCACGTCGAGAGGCTGAAAGAAGAGATATTCGAAATAGCTGTCCGGAATCGCGGCTTGCTCAGCTTATGCGAAACTAATCCCTCAAGAGGCTCCACAACATCTGCCTGTCTACATGTGCAGATGGCAGCTCGAGGTCAGAACGTAAAGATCTGCGATGCCTGTCAGAAGCCAGATCGGGCCAAGCCCCTGGTGGAAAGGAATCCTTCCTCGCTTAACGTTTGGCAAAAGCGCCGAGGTGCGGAAAATGCTTGCATTGCTGGAAGGCCTTGGGAAGCACTAGCAGTTTGTGAAGCCTAAAGCCTGAAGCTAAGAATTTTCATCTGTCCATGCGGCTTGGGAAGGTGCGGACTTCGAGATGCACGCGCTGTGCCTTTGGGTGCCAGAAGTGGCGACGCAATCGCGAGGGCAGCACCGGTCAGTAGAGTCAAAGCGAGTTCTTTGTACCTCGCACCTTGGATGCATTTACTGCTGCTGTTACTACTAATTGCTGCTGCTATTGCGTCTACGACCTACGACTACTACGACAAAGAAGACCATTCCTACTCGTACTACTCCTAATACTGCTAATGCTACTGCTGCTGCTACTGCGCTACTACTGCTACTACTGCTGCTGCCGGTACTACGACGACGACGACTACTACTACTACCTAC